CAACTATTTGTCCAGGCCCCCAGATATGGACATTTTTGGCCCCCTCCTTCAGACTATATAAATGTTCAAATAAATTACAAATTACAGTGGGCCCTCCGTCTTGGCAGGGATTTGGTTCCAGATCCCTCCGCGGATGCTACCGAACGATCAGTCTCACTACAGAACTATAGTGCTGTTATTCTGCATTAACTGCCATAGTTCCATCTTAGGGAATCCTGGGTTTTTAGTCTGATGAAACACTGGAGTAGGCTGGCCAAGAATCCTAAATGCCCTTCCTTAACATAACCCAAGTTTCCACAGGACCAAATCACAGCAGCATAAGTAGAATTGTCCTTCTGTTGCGATAATGCACTATAATTGTGCAGTGTGAATGGACCCCAGGTGACCTCAAGCCAGTCACTCTCTCTCAGCCATATCCAAACTCACAGGGTTTGTTACAAGGACAGAAGTGCAGTGCGCCTTTGGTATCTGCTGGGGTTCGGTTCCAGGATGCCCCATGGATACTGAAATCGGTGGATGTTGAAGTCCCGTGATCCAGAGTAGCATGGTAAAATGGTGTCCCTTATATCAAATGGCAAAACCAAGGTTTACTTTTTGGAATGTGTGCATGTGCGTGTGTGAATATTTTCAAGCCCTGGATGGTTGAATCCAGGGATGCAGAATCTGCGGATAAGGTGGGCTGGCTCTATAGTTATGAAAACCGTGCAAAAAGAGAAGCGCCAGATGCGTGTCCTTGGGGAAAGGTTGGATAAAACGTCATTCATTCATAATAGTAATAATAATAAAACCAGATTCCCCCTTAATGTATCATTAATCATATACAGATTTTCCTTAGCCAGAATGTTGGCTGAGCGTTGGAAAAGGAAGCAAATCCCAGGCACTCGACAGTGCCAGAGAGATAAGGGAGAGAAACTTCGCTCCGTTCCCATTCACAAGTTTGCCACCCACACAAAAAGAGTTCCTTTCCTCGTGGCTGCCCAACATCCTCCCTTTTTATAGCGTTGCTTTATTTGGTGTCTACGAAAGAGCAGGCTCTTGGGCCAATAGAGAAAAGAGTCAACAGGAAGAGCAAACAGCTGACCAGATTTTGAATCAAACAGGCCACACCAACGTCAGGAGGAACCAGAAGGAGGATTTTACGCAATGAAAGAGGGAGGGCTAGATCCGTTTTAAAGGAGAAGCCCCAGCGCTGCCACTACCAAAGCCAGGGAGCCCAACTCTAAAGGGTGGTCCCAAGAAATTCAAAACCACAATGGGGAGCTCTTTTACAAGTGGGTGCTTATGTGCGTTCAAGTTGCCTCTCGACTTAACCTCTGCAAAATAATAATAATAATAATAATTATTATTATTATTATTATTATCCCGCCCCTCTGAAACCAATCGGGGCAGCTTACAACAGTAAAATAATACATAGTATAAAAGAACTCAAAATCATGTTGGCATGGTTCTAGCATAAGCTGCTTTGAGTGGAGCTTAGCACAGACTATATGGGGGTGTTGGCCATACAGCGAACATCCAAAATCCAAAGATATAGCCGTGTTAGTCTGTAGAATGAGTTTGTAGAGAGATCTTGTAGCTCCTTTGAGACTAACTGAAATAAAGACGTTGGCAGCATGAGCTTTCCTAGACTTCACTCGACTTCCTCAGATGCATTTAGATCCCAAATCTACTAAACAGTGATGCCTTTATTGGGCTAACAAAAATGCACAAAATGCACCACGCAAGCTTTCGAAGCTCCACTGGCTTCTTCATCAGGCAAAGGTGTTAAGAATCATACAGGAGGAAATATATATATATATATATAATGACAATGTTAGTCGTGGGCTTGCATTTTCTGCAGTGGTTTCTGGTGTTCCTTGGAGGAATATCTATGCAAGCCCGTATACCTCCATTGGGAACAAAGCCTTCTAAAGCCCATGAGATAAAATCTGAATTCCATTAGCAATACAAAAAGGTACTACGTCTGAGATATACATATATATTGGGGCACTTTATTGATGTTGGTAAATGGTCTAGAGAAGAACAGCATCACCAAAAAGGCCCTGTCCCTAGTTGCAACCCACCAAAACTCTATCATGGGGGCTGTAGCCAGAGTCATATCTCCTGATATCGATCTAAATGAATGAATGGGCTAGGGAGAGCAAGGTCCTTTTAATATCCAGGTCCAACAGTTATTTTGAACTACAAATCCCAGATTCTCTCAGCCAGTGAGGCCAAGCTCAAGTAGCTCCAAATTCCATAACTGACAATTACCGGTAGATGCCCCATTATTACAATGTGAGTACATCATTCCTTCCTCTGCCCAGCTTACATAATATACTTCATCTGCATAGATTCCTTTTGGATGAGACATGGCTTTGAGATTTCTCAGGAACTAGTTCTGCTGGAGAGTCAGATCCGGGAAATTGAGAGCTCTTGCAACTCATGCCTCCCTATGAAAAAGCCCATGGTGCTTCTTTTGCTTCTATTATGAAGGCAACAGAAGGGATGTTTCCTGAGAAGGGGGCAAATTTTGCAAAGGGGTTGCCAGCCACTGGACACCCAAGAGCCATCAACTTTAAAAACACATGTCAGCAAGTAGATCAAGACCTACTGGTGAATTACTGGCCATGCAGGCAGGAAGATTCTGGGAGATGCAGTTGTTTCGGTATGCCTTCAAACTCCAAGCTTCACTGGCTTTGATATAAATGAATATACAGGTTGAGTCTCCCTTATCTGGAATTCCAAAATCCAAAATACTCCAAAATTGTCCCCATGGGTGGCTGAGATAGTGACACCTTTACTTTCTGATAGTTCAATGTACACCAGTTTTGCTTCATGCACAAAATTGTTAAAAATATTGCATGTAAAATGACCTTGAGGCTATCTGTATAAGGTGTATGCAAAACATAAATGAATGTCATGTCTAGACTTGGATCTCATCTCCAAAATATCTCATTATGCATATGCAAATATTCCAAAATCCCCCCCCCCAAAAAAATCTGATATCCAAAACACTTCTGATCCCAAGCATTTCAGTGCCAATGCTCAGTTTGTGTATTTGTCATGCAAGGAAGAAGAATGTGTGGGTTTTCAGAAGAAGCCATGACTGCGTGTTTTACACACTAAGAGACCTGATCTTTCCTGCTCTGTCCTGCCTGCCTTGCTGACAAATCTCAAACCACAAGAAAACGTCTTCCCACTATCTGTGGCGGCCATCCCTAACAAAACGGATCTTACTCCATTTCCAGCCTGACTCCTCCCTCCGCTTATATTTCTGCTTAGAATCATTGTTATTGTTGCAGTGTGCCTTCAAGCCATTTCTGACTTATGGTGACCCTAAGGAGAACCGATCCTGGGGTTTTCTTGGCAAGATTCATTCAGAGGAGGTCTGCCATTGCCTTCCCCTGAGGCTGAGAGAGTGTGACTTGCCCAAGGTCACCCAGTGGGTTTCATGGTCAAGCTGTGAATCGAACCCTGGTCTCCAGAGTCATAGTCCAACACTCAAACCGCTATGCCATGCCGACCCTCTTAATATCATAGAGTCATAAAATGATCATAGATTTGGAAGGATCCTCATGGGTCATGAAGTCCAACTTGCTGCTCAATGCAGGATCTCCAGCAGGTAGCTATCCATCCTCTTCCTGACAAAATTCAGGCACTAGGCAATGGATCCCATTGCCAAACTCTTTACCAAGTATAAAACTTTGCCTTTGCCACCGATAAGACTATACCCACCATATACATTTTATACTTTTTCTAAAGACAGCTGTACCAGGTATATATCCCCCCCAAAATATATACACCCCTAACAGCTTCTTCTTGTGGGGGTACCTTCAAAATAAAGTTTATGCCATGAAACCATATGCACTTGAAGATTTGAAGCTTATAAATAGGAGCAAAGTGTCACAAAATTACAAGAAAAACTTGGAGGTTTGCAACTCTGTGCTTCGACAAACATGAGCAGCGCATTGCTGCAGAGGGACGACAATCAGAACGCCTTCCATAAAATTGTCATTCAAGATGGAATTTGTAACTCTGATTAAGTCATTATCATAACATTTATTCTACAATATCACTTTATTTACTATGCCTTCAAATAATCACCATAGCCACTACAGGCTGAGTCTCCCTTATTCAGAATTCCAAAATACTCCAAAATCCAAAATTGTCCCTGCGAGTGGCTGAGATCGTGATCCCTTTGCTTTCTGATGGTTCGATGTGTTTTGTTTCATGAACAACATTATTAAAAAGATTGCGACTAAAACTCCCTCCAGGCTATATGTGTAAGGTGTAGGCAAAACCTAAATCAAATTACATGTTTCGACTTGGGTCCCATCTCTAAGATATCTCATGATGTCTATGCAAATATTCCAAAAATCCAGAAAAATCCAAAACACTTCTGACCCCAGACATTTCAGATAAGGGAATGAAAGGGAGACTCAACCTGTATTAGCTGTTAAAGGAGATATAGGGTTTTTGGGACACACTGTGTACACACACACAGAGTTTTCTTTTGCTGAGAAATAACTATAGTTCCTTCAGCTTCACTTACTCATTGTCTGCACCACTCATCAATTCCATTTCAAGCTAAGAAAAGTCCAACTCAGCACAATTAGACGGACACAATATTTCACTAAAAAGGAGTGGGCAACAGCATGTGAGTTGGAGTCTAATTTTTCTCCACGCTCCCTGCAAGCCACACACACACAAACACACGCAGCCCAAATATCTCCACAATCCATGCTTTCATTTTTTCCAGGCCTTTACTTTTTTCAGACCTCGGTCTCCCTCAATTCCAAAATGCCCCAACCAGTATGGCCAGTGGGGGAAATCTTGGCGGTTCAATCCACACACATATTTGTGTGTGTGTGTGTTGTGTGCCTTCAACTCATTCCTGACCTATGGAGATCCTAAGATCATGGTGTTTTCTTGGCACAATTTGTTCAGCGGAGGTTTGTCATGGCCTTCCCCAGAGGCTGAGAGAGTGTGACTTGCCCAAGGCCACCCAGTAAGTTTCATGGCTGAGCAGGAATTGAACCCTGGTCTCCAGAATCGAAGTCCAATGCTCAAACCACTATACCACACTGGCTCTCATATGTGTGTGTGTGTGTGATGTTTCCAAGTTCTGAGTCCCGGCACTTTTATACACACAAGAAATGCCTTTTGCCTGCTAGGTTTATAAATCTTTTATCCATATGAGTTTGGGAGGAAAAGAGAGCCCCATCTTTCCCGGCCATTCCACCTGCAAGCATCGCCTTTAGAAATCCGAAATGAATGCATGTCAATTTCATTCCAAAGATCTGCAGAAGATGAGTTGGCCTAATGGTTAGATCAAATGGAATGACTGCTGCCAAGAGAGCTGCACCCAACAGAGTGTTTGAGCTGCCCTTTAGATGACTGTCTCATAAACTAATGAGACACACACACACACACAAAAAGCAGGAGAATCCGAAAACAGTAAACAGGAGGAAGTCAGGAAGTTAGTTAGCTATGCCCCCAAGCCTTCCTGGGAATGGTTGTAGCTCATCTGCTTTACATGCAAAAGGCCCTGGGTTCAATCCCTGTCATCTTCAAGGAGAACTGGGAAGGAATCATGCAAGAATCCCTGGAGAGGTGCCAGCTAGTGTTGACAATCTGGATCTAAGGCATCTAAGGTGTTGTTTTTTGAGTGTTGACTTAGGACTCTGGGAGACGAGGGTTCGAATCTCCGCTTGGCCATGGAAACCCATTGGGTGGCCTTGGGCAAGTCACACTCTCCCAGTCTCAGATTAAACCTGCTCTGAGCCAATTTGGCCAACTAAGGTCACCATAAATCAGAGTTAACTCAGAATCACGGAATCACAGAGTTGATGGGTCGCCGAATCCAACTTTCTGCTCAACGCAGGATCACCAGCTAAAGCAGAGGTTCACAAACTTAAGCCCTCCAGATTCTTTGGACTTCAACTCCCAGAAGCCCCAGCCATCACGGCCAATGTCCAGAAATCCTGGGAGTTGAAGTTAAAAAAAAAAAAAAAACGGTGGAGGATCAAACTTTGGGAACCACTGAGCTAAAGCATCTCCAGGAGGGAGCTGTCCAGACTCTTTCTGAAGATGTCCAGAGAAGGAGACTCACCATCTCTGTAGGCGACTGATTCCATTGCCGATCTGCTCTTACTGTCAAGAAGTTCCTTCTAATGTTAAATCAACATCTACCCTCCTGTAACTTAAAATCTTCAGACATGATCCTCTCCTTTGGGGCAACAGAGCAGAAGCCTGTACAACTCTAGAGATATTCGAAGAGCGTGATCATGTCACCCCACAAGCTGAACATGCGCAGGCCTTTCAACCTTTTCTCATATGTTTTGTTCTCCACACCTCTTATCATCCTTGTTGCCCTTCTCCGAATCTGCTCCAACTTGTCTATGGAGTTCATCACACGGGACGGATCCCCTGCAGAAACTGGATTTAAAGTGAAAACAACCCGCAAAAGCAGGTTGTTTTTCACACGACGTTCAGGGTTCACCCGAACATAAAGTAGAAATAACCCGGAAAAGTGGGCTGTTTTTCAGACGACGTTGGCGTCAAGGAGAAATAACGCGACATTAATAATAATAATAATAATAATAATAATAATAATAATAATAATAATAATAATAAATTTTATTTATAACCCAAACATTAATCCAAACATGCCGGCCACAGATGCAGGCGAAACGTCAGGAATACATTCTTCTAGAACACAGCCTCACAGCCCGAAAAACCCACAAAAACCTACTGGGGACTTTGTTTAATATGATTTTCATGGAATTGAACTCATTGAAACAAACATCAAAACATTGTCTTTGGACAATAAAAAGAGGAGGCTTTGGATCAGGACCAAAACAATGGGGAAATAGTTAAACCTCCGCACCAGCACCCATGTCTTGATCTGGATTGAATCTTCTGTGTTTACCCTAGAGCAGTGATTCCCAAACTCTGATCTTCTGGATATTTTGGACTTCAGCTCCCAGAATCCCAGACCATTGATCAAGATGGTTGAGGCTTCTGGGAGCTGAAGTCCAAAACACCTGAAAGATCAGAGTTTGGGAATCACTGCTCTAGAGTAAGAAAAAAGGGAGTAGGCAATAGAAAATAGACCCTGGACATCTAGTTAAAACCAAGATGCGCATCAACATTACCAAGCCATTTAAGTCCAGATGTTTGTGTGTTTCAAAGTCCCTTAAGGCCAGGAACCTGTCATCTTACTCACCTGCAAAAGCACATGACAAGCCATCGGAGCTGTCCAGAGGGTAACCAGCTCATCCACACATGTGTGTGACAGCTTCATGTGTCAAAGAATAAGTAGCCAAGGGCTCTCAAGTGTACTGTACTCAGCAATGATACTCAACATAGTACATACACACCGCCTTACTCACTCCGTGGGAGAAGAACAATATTGTTTTGGAAGGGAACAGAGCTGCCTTTCTCAGCTCCTTGGAGGCTGTCCAGATGTTGTTGCTGTGTGCCGTTGAGTCATCTCCGATTTATGGCAATCCTGTCATGGGGTTTGCCATTGAGGCTGAGAGAGTGTGATTTATCCAAGGTCACCCAATGGGCTGAGCCAGGATTCGAAGCCTGGTCTCCAGGGTTCCTATCTGCCCATAATGGTTTCCTACCTGCCCATAAGACCTAGGGCTGCAATCTTATGCCTACGTGCCCAAGCCAGGATTTGAACCCTGGTCTCCAGGGTCTCCAGGGTTCCTATCTGCTCATAATGGTATCCTACCTGCCCATAAATATATATTTTAGACACTAACTTGCCTCTGCAGACGCCTAGGGCTGCAATGCTACGCCTATTGACCTGGGGGAGTAAATTCATTTGAAAACTATGGGGTCTATTTCTAAACAGAGATTTATAGGATTGCATGCACGGCATGTTGGTCTTTTTTGATGCTCCAAAGCAAAACCCGAACACACCTCTAATA